GTAAGCTCAGGCACTGGTCACTTTAAAAGGTCACTTTCCCAAGGACCTCCCTCTCCATGTCTCCCTGTAACTTTTCAGCCTGGCCTTTTCAATCCTCTGACCAGAAGGCTGGTGCTCTGCCCTGCACCTGCTGCCCTTGTGCTCACTTCCAGGGTCAAGTGGTGGGAGGACAGATGGAGATGAAAAGCAAAGGGGAATTCAGCACCTCCTTGGGACAATGGCTCCTCCACTGAGGCGGGAGGATTCCCTCTGGCAGAGTTTTCACCCCTGATGGTTCCTGCTGCCGCTGTTGCTTGTGTGGGTTTGAGGCAGGCACAGGAAAATGGGAAAAAAGAAAGAGAAATAGGAAATTTCTCCCTCTCCCTCTGAGCATTTGCTCTTTTCTTCCCTACTCCTTGACTGGAGGAGAGTTTCTTCTAGAGATCTCTCTGATCATACCCTGATGCCCGCTTCTGGGTTTTGGATTTTGATGAGTTTGGCCCAGGGCATCCTGGAGGGAACCAAATGGCAAAGTGTTGCTATTTTGGGGGGGCCTTTGGAGTCTGGTCTTCCTCCTCAGTGCCTCTGCTTGCTGTTTGCTTTTCACAGCCCTCAGTGGCTGACCCATGCATTCTGCCTGGGTTTTAAGCTGTGTTCAGTGGGAGGGATGTTTGTGCTTACCCCATTTTAAGTCTGGCTCTGACTTTGGCATTTAACAAAGGACTCCATCCACCCTCCCACCCCCATTCCCCAATCACTCACTCAGTTATGCTATTAATATGAATTGAATGCCTACTATGTACCAGAAACTATGAGGGCAAGAGAAACATTGCATCTTGAATGTATTTAGAACACAAGACACAACTTTCTAGACTTCACCTATATTTCACCTTCCTGGATTTCGCAACTTACTGGCTTCCCACACCCCTCCCCTCCCCATTTATGCTCACATAGATATAAGAAAAGTGAGTGGGTTTTGTATTCTGCTGTTTCCTTCAGAAGGCAAGTACATATAGAAGCCTGAAACCATCCTTACTTCCAAGCTCTGTGGGTGAGGCCGAGGCCGAGGGCTTTGGAAAGAGTGGTGTTTTCAAACGCAGGTTTGTGGTTTTTGAAAGAACAGAAAGCATAAAAGCATAACATTTTGTAAGATTACTTTCGGCTGAAGACCAATTGATGTGACATCTGAAAATAATCAAATAAGTATCTTGTTTTCAGCCTGCAAATAACTTTGTGAAACTTTGGAAGGAAATTCTCCACTTATGGAAAAAAATAAGAAAAATCGAAATTGAGATCATGGGGGAAGAACAAAGATGGGGAATTGTGAGAGTGCTTTGAATTGTTAATAGCAATTGTATTTGTAAAAGTGAATCTCTCTAAAAACCTGGAAGTGGCTAATAACTTTAAATCACCTCACACGGCACATGCCCCAAACCCTGATGACTTCCAAATTCAATTGCTTATAATCATTTTGCGGAGCATTCCAAAAACTTGAAGTCGCAATGCGATGCATGGAACTCTGGATTTAACATTTTTAAAGCCCTTGATTTTTTTTTCCTATAAGCTCTTACATTTAGGAAGAAGTCATGGTATAGTCTAACTCTGGAAGATCAAAATATGATGAACTTTTTCAATAAAGATGACAACAGCCAAGAAAACAAAAATGGAAGTGAGCATGAGGAAAAACAGAGTAAAGAAAGGTAAAGACAAGGCTGAAGTGGCATTCATAAAAGTCCCAGCGCTGAAGGGAGAGACTGCACTTGAAGAAAAAGTCTGCTGCCCAAGGTAAGACAAATTATGACAGGTTGGTGAGGATACTCTGAGGCAAAGGAAATTCAGCGTTATCAAAAACCCGGGCTCAAGCAGTAAAGAGAAACTTCCCTCTTGCTTCCATGGTTAAAGGGTGACTTAGAGTTCCTGCAGAATTTCATTAATATACAAGTCGAGTGTTGCTAATATCCAGTGGGGATGACAGACAGTTTTACTTTGTGAATTTCTGGTTTCTAATGATGCATTTGAGCTTTATTTTTTACAGCTGTCCTTGTCTTAATCCTTTACTTTTATCTCCCTGGGGTTTAATGGTTTCTAGTTACATATCAGCATTTTAAGCAGCATGTCGGCCGTCAGGCAGCACATGGCTTCTGATGGTTATGGCATTTGGGTCACCACTAGTTCTCTGGAAGGACAAGCGCTCCTGTGAACAGCACAGCAAACTCCCTCGTATGATTGGAACACGGCAGCGCAGGTTCAGGGCGCAACCAAATGCCTTTTGCAAACAGCAGCTCAATGAGGATTCCTGCCACGAGGCAAAATGCTTGGAAAGTTACTATGCGCTGGCATCACTGGGTTTGGGGTCAGCATGCTGAAGCGGGGACTCATTATGTTCCTACCATGCCAACTTGGTGCAATTAGCCTAACATGATAATTTCCTGAAGCCATATGTTGATCTTTAGGGGAGGGAACGCTTCATATGCCTGATGGCTCTAAGCTCTGACTGGCATGTCCCAGCTTCCAGCAAATTTCTGTAAATCAAGATAACACATAGCAATCAAAGATGAGGTCAGATGGCCAGCCTGGACAGAGACAGAAAACTTAGAGCAGGGTTATGTACTTGTTGCAGGGAGTTGGGCTTTTTCTTTTCTTTCCAAGGAGGGTTTCAGAGAAAGGTCACAGGAGTGGCACTGTGTGTAAGGCTGTTCCTCCCCACCCCGCCCCCCACCAAAAAAAAAAAATCAATAGAAGGACCTAGAACACAATAAGTTATGTTCCAGGGCAGCATGGCCTGTATTCCCATCGGAGACCTATCAATGTGAACTAGCACTGTTGGGAAATCTCTTCAGCTCCCCCTGTTAATCAATACCTCTGTTCATTATACGTCTTTGATGAATATGGGTAATGATTGGGTGCCCAAGAATCAGGTGACTAAAAATAACTGCTCCTTACTGAGGATCAATAGATTTTCCCCCCAGTATTACTTCAGGCAATTCAATATTCTCTGCCGCCCCTCCCCAACCCCCTACCAATGCGATCCTCTCTAGTCTTCATTGATAGATCAGCTCCGGCCTCAGAGCAGCTTTATTAAATTAGTGGCACTTAATCTACTGTCATATTGTCAACTGACACGGGGCAAACTGCAAGCGGCAAGCCTTCCAGCGGCTCAGGAGAGCAAGTAGCCACAACCCAGGAGTTCTGATTAGCTTTGTGCCAAGAGCTGTCTTCATGGGTGCCTCTTCACCGAACAGGAGTATTTACACCATTTAAAACAACTTTTTTTTATTTGAGGGAGAATTCTTCCCAATTACAGCCTTATTATGACAGATGAAAAGATCATAATTATACTTGGATTCCCTGCAGGAATGCCTTCACACATCCGTGACATTTAATAACCACATGCCTCAACGGAGGCTGACTTTTCCGAAGTTGCTTAACCTTTCATTTCTTTGTCTTCACCCCAAAATCCATCTGTGGGAGCTCAGAGAAATCAAGGAGGGAAACTCCCTCAAGGCTAGGTATCTCTGGCATCCCTGATGCTTTAGGAGAGACACTCAGTGATACTTGAGCCTGGGTAGCTTCTTACTGGAGGACTGAGGGGTATAGGCAGCCTGTCCAGAGGCCTGGGGCCAGGGCATTGCTCTAGAGTCCTGGTAGCTTACGTACCTGCATTAGAGGCCACAGGAAACTGGAGAGATTTGAGCAGATCTGGCTCTGCCAATGCAGAACAGAAAATTCTAAATTGAAGGGGAGATTTCAGCAAAAGTTACGGTCTTAGTCTAAATTTTTTTTTTTTTTTTGAGACAGAGTCTCTTTCTATTGTCCAGGCTGGAGTGCAGTAGCGTGATCTCAGCTCACTGCAACCTCCACCTCTTGGGTTCAAGCGATTCTCCTGCCTCAGCTGCCAGAGCAGCTGAGACTGCATACCTCTGCCACCATGCCCAGCTAATTTTTTTTTCTTTTTTTTTTTTTAAAGTAGAGATGAGGTTTCACCATATTGGCCAGGCTGGTCTCGAACTCCTGACCTTGTGATCAGCCCACCCCGGCCTCCCAAAGTGCTGGAATTATAGGTGTGAGCCACTGGGCCCAGCCTAATTTTTAACTTGGATTGGTTTAAGGGGAGGGGTGATATTAAACACTGCTGAGTCAAAAGCACCTTTTTAAATAATTTCAACTTTTAGCTATAGGGTGGTACATGCCCAGGTTTGTTACATGGGTGTATCGTGTGACTGAGGTTTGGGGTACAAATGGTCCCATCACCCAGGTGGTGAGCACAGCACCCAGTAGGTGGCCTTTCAGTCCCTGCACCCCTCCTCCTCTCCCAGTGTTCACTGTTCCCATCTTTATGCCTGTGTGTGCTCAACGTTTAGCTCCCAAAATGCACCTTCTCTCTGCTTCATCCATGTCCCTGCACAGTACGACAGGAGGAGGAAATGCTGCTGATTATGACATCTTTCCATCTGCCAGTTTTATTTCTAGATTATAACAAGGACAATTTGTGGAAAGCCGCTGCTGAGAGACTATAAACTGAAAGACAAGCATTCAGTCTGAAAAAATATGAAGTCATCATCCTGGTGGCTGCTGTCCACAAATTTGAGAGTTGAGGAAGAAAATTTAATTTTGAAAAGCTCAGGTGCAAAGACACCTAAGTTCTTCCTCTAATCTTCTTTTCCTCAAAAGAGCAGGGGCTAAGGCTTTGAGAAAAGGACCTCCGAAAAGTCACAGAAAAGGCATCCGCAAAGGGACGGAGGAAGACGGAGGGCAGTGTCTGCTGTGCTCCATTGGGAGTGGCTAGGACCTCTGCAGCTCTGACCCAGCTTTGCCATCTGAGCAAAAGAGGAGCTTGGTCTTCCTGAGAAGTCTATTAAATAATATAGTGGTTCAATCCAAATAGGAGCTTGGCTCTGAGTTCGCCAACAAGTGTGCTTAAATACGGCGACTTACACTGAGCTGAAGGGCTGTTGGGTGCATTTTGTAAAGATCTATTGGAGTGTGTGGAGGTTTTTTGAAATCAAAAAGGTAAGAAGAGATCAGTGACTGATAAATCTTTAATATAAAAATTGTACAAGAATTTTGATACAAATTACAAGAGGTATTTGGACAAAATATGAATAAAATTCCATTTACATCCCCAAACCCTTATGCATTTTATGCAAAAGACATACTGTAGGCAGTTATAGTACAGAAAATACAACCAAAGGAATATAGCAAATAAAAAATTTTAATTACCTTACACTACCAATAAAAACAAAAAGCAAAACAACAAGACAAAAATAAAACGCTTGTTTAAGGTACATACAGTATTTAGGAAGCTACCAATGTCACAATGATTAGATCAGGGCGATGCAAGCTGACCCCATCCCTTGGTGCAGTTATCTTTTGTAGTACAGACTTTGATTCCACGGCAGGCTTATTGGAAGAGACTGGTTTTATGCAGATGAGAACAACATAAACCAAAAAAAGGACTCAACTGCTAAACTCTGGGAGAGGGAAAGGACATATCTTGGTGAAAATTCCTTTCTTCAAGATATTTCAATTCCCTTTGGCCACTTTTGCTGTCAAATATGAAGGCTGAGTCTGATATGTTTGTCACTGGAGACACACCAATGGGTCTAGAGTGACTGAGAGATACGTGTTCTCCCAGCCGTGTGAGGGATCTTGCTAGTTCTAAAAGGACTATTCCATCACCAGAAGGGGAGAACAGAGCACTTGCTTTCCCAGTTCCCCAACCTGCCCCCTTCCCCTCACCTTTGGGGAAGCAGAAAAGCAGCAAGGACTTCATGGAAGAAGCCAGGCAGGGTGTGAGGGGAGCGGGGAAATGGGCATTTGCCTCACTTGGGAACGACCCACGGGTGTGTCGGTCACCCTCATACTGCTGAGTGAGCTCCACATGAAGAGCCCAGGTCGCCTCAAGCCCAAGTCTTCTCCCGATTTCTCAACCGTCCTCACTCCTCTGACCTTCATGTACCCATGCTTAGCTCTCCTGCATTCTTTATACTGGCACTGGCAGGAAAATGGTAAGATTCTCTGCAGGGCAGCTGAACCAAAGTTTGCACAGGAAAGTGAATGCACCATATATTAGAAATCTTAGATAGTCTTATCAAGTTAATATATAATACTAGAACATCTCATTCACGTAATTCACGTTATGTAAACCCTGGACAGGGTAGAACACACGTTTCCAAAGCGATTAAAACCAGGATGGGGGAGAGCGTGTTCTACCTTCTTGCTCAAACACTATTTATTTTTTTAGGGGGTAGGTGAGATCAGAAGAGCAAAGGGTGGGATTAAGAAAGACGATGGAAAAGTCAGGGGAGATTAAGATACATAACGAGAGGAATGGATTACTCTGTACAAAGACATGCAAAAACACTCCAAAGTGAGTACTGGATTAAAAAAAAACAGCCTTGGTTTATACATCTCAAGTGAACCTATCAACTCAGCACATTGTCTGGGAGTTCAAGAGCATCGCACCTCACGAACCGATGCTTCTCACAGTGGCTACAGCACCGATTCACAAGTGGGGTAGGGGATGCTTTGTCTCCTAGCATGGAAAAGGCAGGCAGTGAGGCTCCCACTGAAACAGTGCCAGGTCAGTTCACCTTGCAGGGACTGGCGCTTTCTCCCTCTCTTTTGAGAAACATATCCAGGGCCAGATGAATGGAGCTCTCTCACACACCCAGGGTCTCCCCAGAGTCACCTCTCAGTCCTTGCATTCCATGACATAAGTGGGCAGAGCCAGTGAATAATTGATGGATTTGCCATCTTAGCTGTGCATTATCTCAACATCACATTTGGCAACAGGAAGCCTTATAAAATCTTGGTATAGCACTTAGATACTCTCTCTTCAAGAAATATACTTTTAATACTATCTACTTCTCTCCATTTTTCTTAAAATACCTCTTTCTGCTCTTCCTTCCCTTCAAAGATTCTTAAAAAAAAAAAAAAAGTGAAACAAAGCATTAAAAAAACTATGACAAGTGTCCTTAAGCATCCCTGTTATTTTAGAGTTAAGGGGTGAAAGCTAATAGCAGTGAGCAGAACTTGTGCAATTTTGGCAACTGGGTTTTCAATTAAGATTCTATTAAGATGTCTGATAAACGATTGTAATATATACACACTGAAGAACTGAAGAAGTTTTAACTCGACTACCTGCCTTTTCTCCAATCCAAGAGTCCTTGCTCAAAGTGCTTTTCTTCCCAGTCCTCAGACTGGTTCACGAAATTATGTAGCACAGATTTGTCAACATAGATCTGTTACATTGCCTATCCCTAAATCTGTTGCTTTCCTCACCTTGCTTAAGTTCACATGGAAGATGATACCAATACCTGCATATATCTTATCTTATCTCGTTAATATCTTGTTGAAATGTGCCTGTTTGTAATGGGGACAGCTATCTTCTGTGAGACCCGCTGCGGGAAGGCTGGAAGGAAGCATGACATCCCCTACTTCCAGAAAGAAGACGTGCGAAAGATCTTGCATCTCTTTTAGTCACTATCTACCACTTTTAACCATCATTTGAGTACTTCAGTACACAAAAATAGCAGCTAATCCTGACACATTGTTTGGGCTCAAGGCATTTTGGAATGTAACATTTTCATGTATTCTTCCTTTGTACCTTTGGTCTCCCGTTACTCGATTTTCTAAAGCTCACTGTACTTGTACTTACCAAAGTTCTTCAAAGTGGAGAATTTACCTTTTACCCCAGAGGGTGGTCCTCGTTTTAATGATTAAAGTCCAAAGCCTGGTGCCATTTTTTTTAGATTGTCAGTCCAGTTGGACAAAATAAGTTAATTTATCATGTTACACTATGGATTTGGAGGGGTAATTGAAAGACACATTTGTACATCTAGATCAATGATTTGATGCCATAGATAAGAAAAAAAAAAACTGCCATGCGGAACCAGTTTACAACATGTGCACTTTTTGAAGGGGAAGTAAAACATTTTAATCTTTTCCTTACAGATTAGGGGGCAATATAATCTTACTTATGCCATTGACTTGCAGGAAAATTTGCTCTAATTATGGAGTCACACCCATTACTCCCAAAACAGATGGGCATGGAATTGCAATACTTAAGTTTTCAAAGAAGCAAAGGATGCTGCCACAGACAGCGTCTCTCTACTGACCCTTTAGTTAAGAAGTCATCTTGTTACTGTCCACTTAATAGCTGGAGAGGGCATGGAGAGGCAGCCTTGGGCTTCCCAAAGACACAGTAGGTGTGTGTATGTGCTTGTATGTTAGGAGGGGAGGAAGAGAGGGAAGGAGAGAGAAGAGAGAGGAGAGACAGAGAGAGAGAGGGGGGGTGGGGGACAGAGAGACAGAGAGAGAGAGAGAGACTGATTGTGGATGTGTGTGTACATCAGAGAACTCGATGGGAAAGCCTAGCCCTTGTAGTCAATTTCTCCTTCACAAGGGGATAAACAGGCAATTACGCATCCTTTTATATTTGATGGCCAAGTGCTGAACTGGAAAGCACACTATTAGTTTGTGTCCCTTCAGGGCCAGGGCAATAAGTAGCCAGGAGAGCTGGGCTGAAGCAGAGAGGGTGTTGTCTGCTGTTAGTGTGACAGTCTTGTCAGCGGCGTTCACATTACTGGAAGGTAATAAAGTGACAAGTACGTTATTAGAAAGATATGAGGTGAAATTGAACTGAAGCTTCTTGCTGCTCAGTCCTGGCTTTTTTCTTTCGTCTTTTGTAATGGTCCACTATTTGTTAGAAACTGAGCCCTGTCTTCATACCCCATATAAAAAAGATTTTTTTTTCCTGCAGTAAAGGTCAAATGAATTTACAACAACACAACACTTTAGAGGAGAAGAATAAAGATAGTTTTATGACAACTATAGTATGTTGCTTCAAAAATATATATAGCATTATAATGAACAATAATGCTGATCCAATTCAGTGTACTTGTAAAAATGCTTTTTTTTAACCTTCTGTTATTAAGCATTTGGATTTTTCAACAAATGCCAAAAAGACAGTATTTGACATACAGTTATTGCCGAATGACCACAAAAATCATTTTGTGCAAGATGTGGGAAGGATGAGGATGATGAAACCACACAAGGACGGACGGGTGTGTGAGTAACAGCGGTAGGAGGTAACTCACTGGTCAGCTGTACAGCTGGATTCACATAATACTGTTTGAAAATGACCATTTATGGTGAGCAACACTCCAGCTACAGGAAATATGGGACCCGTCTGGGACAGATCAAACATGACCTTAGTACTAACGCAAGCAAGACCATCACACGTGGTTTATCTCTGAGTGAAAACATGAAAAGAAAAGTTGCTTATGTACCTCACAGAACAGTAAATGAGCTCCCATTTTGCTCAAGGTCTTTAGCCTAGTACTAATTACAATCACGGCTTTGTTGTGTCGCTACAGTGGCCAGTACGAGCAATGATCTAGAAAGGAACAGTCTCAGCTGGTGCCACTTGCACCGACTCCTCCGTCTGGATGAAAACGGGGTTTTACCACTGGCCTTTTCTATAGCCCAGCTGACCCCTGGCATCTTTTGCTTCGCAGGGGATTCCAGCAAGACTTCCCACTCAAAAACAAAGCAAAAGCAACCAAACCCCCACGACTGTTGGCTCTTTCTGACCCCAAAGGAACTTCAGCTATTCCACGCAGCTCCTTGCTTTCCTAATCCCTTCCTCAGAGCTGACTCACCTGGTCACGGGAACTCTGCAGGTTGCTAACATCAATAGTCCTTCCTCTCGAGCAAACACTTCAGTGCATTAGCGATTTCCTTTTCTAGCTACCCTCTACTTAGTTCTGATGAAGACACTGTGATCCTTTTTGGTACCTTTTACTGCCCATCTTATTCATTTAGATTCATCCCCCAAAAATAGACAATGCGAGGGAAAAGCAAAACCATCTAAGTATTTCAAGTTTTGCGGAAGTGATTTTCAAAAATTAAATGTTTGTCATAATTTATAAAAAGAAGCTCTTAAGAAAAGGGTGTGACCACAAGATGAAAGTTTCTTCTGGATGATTTGTTTCTTGATGATAGCAGGTGTAGCATGTCTTATGACAGCTGAATTTTATTTACTCTGTTAGACAATCTAACCCAATGCTAACAGACCAGATACAAGTTAGGACTGCTCAGGTCAAGTTGTCAGCAGTTAGCAGCATGTCCATCTCAATCTGGTGACTAGCTTATGTTTTCATTGTCAACGGCCCTCATTCTCATTTGCTTGGCACACATCTGGGGTGTGTACAGAGAAAGGGGAAAAAAAGGTCACTCTGTATTTGGTGGGAACCTTGTGCACAGTTTCTCCTCAGTAAAAAGAGGAGACTGCCCCTGGAACAGCCCATTCTTGATATGGGGAAAACAAAGATTGTTTTCCCCCTTAGAGCAATGTATGCTAATGGGGCTGTTAACCAGTTAAGTGCCTTTCTTCTCTTACTGGGAAGGCCTGGAAATTCATGACCAAAGAAATAACACTAAGAGGACAGTGGCACCATTGTGCCAAAAAGGTTTCAAAAAATGTTTGCCATGTTGAAAAGGAAAACACTAACACCTTCAAACCTTTAAAAGGCAACAGGCTGAACAGGGCAGCTGGCTAAGATCTGGAATGAGTTACATTGGGTTGACTTATTTAAATACAATTAATACCAGAACAAAGAATGTCAAGGATTTTTATCACACTTTTAAACCAAATTACTTATTATCTATCCCTTTCCTTGCCTTCCTTCCATAGCATGCAGATACTCCCAAAAGCAGACTAAACCTGATATTTACAAAAGCATAGTTTTATATGATCAAGACAGTAAGTTTCAACATCAGCTAGAGAACATGCACAGTAATGCCAGCTAATTTTGTACCTGTGATAAACTCTGGCTGAAACCAATCACATGGAAAGAAGCTTGTTGGATGAAAATCTACATCACTATTAATTTTCAGCCAGCACAGAATGGATGTGGCTTGAGAGAAACTGTTTAACACCAGGAAAGTCCTGTGAAAAAATACATGAGTAGGAAGAGGCAAAGATGAAGAGCTCAATGACTAAAATGCTGATCTGTTTATCCTTCCTGTTTGCAAGTAAGCCGTGGGATCACCATCTTAACCAGAATTCTAGATAAGCCCAAATACTACTGTCAAGAACGAGGAAAACTTTAGGAACCGAAGAGTTGTACATTTTATGATTTTCCATTGCATGTGCTACATCCATCCACTGCCTCATCCCTTTTAAGCAAATAGGCTTTATATTGGAAAATGTTATTTTCTTATTTAGAAGGCCACCGTAACGACTGGGCACTTGAGGCACAAAAGTGGTAGCAAATAGGGGAGATACTTCAAAAGTGTCAGCTGTCCAGACTTACTGCCATTTCTCTGACAAAACACAGGTGAACACATTCATGTTTCCAAGCAAGGGAAACTACTAGAATCTCATTACTTCTGGACTTAACTGGCTATACACATTAGCTTGGTTTGCAGCAAGTAACAAACATTTGTTCTAAGCCTGGTTCATTTGCTGATGTGACCTGCTGACAGCTATATAATTCACTCACAAGAGCTATCTGACCTTTTATTTGACATTAAACAGACTAAACATTGCTTTTGTACAAGATGAGTTCTAATAACTCAACCGAGTATAACTTTTCAAAGTTGCTGAAATAAAAATGTGTATTTGTTTTCATAAAACTACATGTAGTCTATGCACGTTGCAAAAGCCAGAGTTTCTATGTTTTGTCGGGATACTAAAAACATTTTCCCACCCATTTTGAATCTAATCATTTGGTAATGGGGCAACAGCACAATACAGAGAACGCTGAGAGGACCAAAATGTTTGCAAACAAACTTTCATTATTCTAGTTCAATCTTTCACAAACATACTGTACAGAGTCTTAAATGGTATAAAACAAAGGAAAACATCTCTGTCTATTCAATTTAACATAACACCAAAATAAAGCAGTTAAGACTTTGGGGAGTTCAATGGTACAAGAAAACAAAAACAGTTATTACTAATTCCTCAGCTTTTACCATAAACACTTGTTATTTAACATAGTGTTTGATAGAGTTTCTTTTGTACTGCAAATACTTTTGGTCTTTCCTCCCTGTGGAACAAATGAAGAATTGAAATGAACTCCATCGCATCCTCTGAAGGAGGTGAAAAGATAAAGCTCCTAGACACAGCTAGCTTATCTTTAAGAATCTATTCTTTCTGAAATTTTCACAAATAAAAATACTGAATCCCCAACTAATGATGCTTATTTTGGGAAACAATAAATACTGTGAGGTACAATAAATCCTACAGGAATAATAACAACAACAGAAACATATTAACAGTTTCCTTTGGCAAATTTAACGGAAGTGAATGCTGATGTGAACATAGAAAAAATAATTACAAAAACATATGTAAAATGGAAACAACATAAGTTAAAACGAAGGGGTATTTCTAACTTTTAGACTGATGAGAGAAATGTCTGAGGCCATTCAATGCAAAAAAAGAAATACATTCTCTTTAAATTATTGTGTACTGTTTGACAAAATATTCCTTGTTTATCTCTTCTTTTCCCCTCCACTTAAAAAAAAAAAAAAGACAACAAAACAGTCTGCAATGCACACCCTAATGGTTTTGGCTGCAGACTGAACTTGAGTAAATATCATCATTTAGTCAGTATGTTGTGGTAGCTGAGGCTGCCGATGTGGTTAACCAGCTCAGGCAACATGTGTAAACATCGGAAACAAAACAAAACAAAAAAGGTTTGGAGAATAGTCTCTCCCCTCTTTCTCACTCTCGATTGCTTGGTTTCAGGCTTGCTTTCATTTCTCTCTGACAAATCGTGTGGGGAAACACAAAACACTCAACAGTGAGACATCCTGCTTTAAAACCCCCTTCTTCTGGCTTTTCAGAAAGGAGTGTTGCTCAATTCAAGTTTAGCACATGTTTTCAAAGCTTCCAAGTACTGCTGCTGCTAAATGCCTTTTGATTTTGTCTATCAAACAGGCCTGAATTATGGTACGACTGCAGAATTTGCAACAAATTAGACAGCCATACAACAGACCGACCCAGTTCAGAGGATTTCTTTATAAAGGATAAGGGCTAGGGCCTTGGAAATGAGTGTTCAACTCTTTTACTGTATTCCTTTTTTGTTCCGTAGTGGGTAATTTGGGCTTTTGTATCCTGAAATATTATCCTGACTCTGAAGAATAAATGCCTTGGCTGTTTCACACCACATAATTTTGTTTTCCTTTTATGTAACTTAACATATAAGCAAGAAGGATGCAATGTTGATTCTAATAACATTCGGCACTTGAAAGAATCACCAAGTGTTTTTTTAAAAAGCGGTTTTTTGGTGGCCAACAAATTGGCCTGTGGTTATGTTGGGTGACTAATTGTATTTTCTTTTCTGGAAACTTGTGCAAAGTTGGCAGTTCTGTGTTAACACTAATACTTTTGTTTGGCATTTGTGCCCTATACTGACCAGACCATTTTTATACAAGTGAAGTTTTTTTAAAAAAGACACTTACTGAAGTATGGCAATAGTTTAAGGATAAAAAAGAAGCATGGATATTACACATCCCCTTGTAGTGTATGAAAAAAAGTGCATGACGGGATTTATGTACTAGTACAGGACATTTTTAAAAATCAGATCTGTGCTGTTAAGCATGCCAGCACCTCTTTACCACTATTATCTAACAGGTAGTAAAAACAAGACCATGGTTTTTTTTTTTTTTTTTAAAAATGTGCATTAATGCTAACATAAATGAATAGAGCTAGCCGGCAAACTATTTTTTTCCTGCATATCTAACAGCTGGATGTAACTGTAAAAATTAAACAAAAGTTAAACAACCATCAATACAATTGTTTTACATCAATGGCCCCTCAAGGCTAAATATTTACAGGTGAATCTGCCATGCTTTAATTGAAGATTCTTTCAAAACCTTAAAGTTCACAAAAGACAACTATAAGAAGGTCCTTTTTGTTTCTTTTTTCTTTTTTTTCCCTTTTATTTTTGCAGGCAACAGTCATGGGTACAACAAATTGTCTCTTTGGGGAAGACCGAGAATTATTCTGTCAAAACTGGGGCTAGTTGCACATTGCGCGTGTGTGTGTGTGTGTGTGTGTGTGTGTGTGTGTGTGTGTGTGTGTGTGTGTGTTTAAAGGGGTACTCTGCTTTCACCCTCAAATCAAAGATCCCTCAACTTCCCCAAAACCATAAAGGAAAAGTAAAAAAAAAATTCAAAAGCACCTAGTGTTTATCGCAAGGAAATACGTGTGTGTTTACGTAGCCACAGAGCATACATAAATGCACACACACACACACACACACAGGCACACACACCCCGAGTACGTAAGCGCACACTGACTATGGCAGTTCAAACACGTAGGCCATCTGGTGAGAGCTGGCATTTGTAGTGTCCATTCTGAGACTAATCTACTGAAGTGAAGGGAATGTTTTTGTGGAGATTAGGGTTCTGACTGTGCCGATTTCGGCTTCGTACAGAGGAAAACATCATATTGCAACCTGGGACTTTGCACTTGTGCATTTCTCGCAAATGCACAGTTTTGTAGTGCACTCTCAGGGTCCCCTTGTTGCTGTACATTTTGTGGCAAATGTTGCACATGATCCCACCATTGCTCCCAGACAAGCTGCTGAACATAAGAGATCCCGAAACTTCAGCTCCTAGGCTGCCAGGGAGGGCAGGGGCCTCGGCCTTGTGTGCCGACTCCCCACTGTCACTCGCCCCATCAATGTCATCGAGAAGAATCCCCTCGTCACTGCCTGCATCAGATTCTCTGGAGGAATGGATGCTGCTGCTGGACTGGAGGCTAGAGGTGGTGCTCAAGTCAAGGACCATGTAGTCCTCCGCCATGCCTCTCCCATACCCGTTCAGGTGGGAGTCTTCAGTCCCTGCGGGAGAGGAGGCGTCTTCCCTGACATCGAGCCCCAGAGGGTGCTGGGCACCATAGATCTTCACCAAAAATTCATCGCGGAGGTCCTTGCTAAGGGAAGGCTGCGACGAGTCCAGGCCCATGTCATCAAGTTCTTTGGTCAACAGTTTACGATGTAGGTTTATGTTGGCACTGTGTCTAGGAAAATAAGAGGGAAGGGGGGGTAGGTGGATAGGGGGTGGGGAGGGGTGAGAAAAAGGAGAGCATTTTAAAATTGATTCAGCTTTCACAAGGTATCAAATAAGCACATTCACTGCTAATTACACCATAATAAAAGCAAGCATTCCCCTATATCCTCAGGATCTGGGAGTTCGTGGTGGTGGTGGGAGGTGCAATCAGGGGAACTTTCCATTAACATAATTTTTATAAGAGAATAAAACTTGTCAATGGTAGGATGAATGCAAACCCATGCACCTTTTTCTCAATGATTTCTGTTAGTTTTACTATGTAGCAGCATCAGCTGCAGTGAATCTCATGACAGAGATTTTAGAATATATATTAAATAGAATAAGAGAACAGAAACTTTCTGCTTGTCTAAATGGAATAATCTAAATTTACCCAGAAACAACAAGAATAAATATATTTTCTATACAGAACACTGTATTTTGAGGTATAGAAATAATTCATTTTTTAAAAAAGTAAATTGTATAGATAATTTAGATATAACTTCAAAAAATAATGATATCTTCCTTCTCGACTCTCTATATTTCAAGTTTTAAGGAAAAACAATAGCTAAATAGATTAAACAATTTGAAATAGGGTTAGACTGTCTTTAACAACACAAATGCCTTTTCTCAGAATCATTTAAGAATCCAGTTAAATCTAATAATAAAATACATTTACTTTTTAGAAGTATCTGCCTTTTAGAGTCAAAAATATTTTCATCGAGTAATTCTACTTTAAAATTTAATTATTTAAGACAAAAAATGAAAAACAGAAACTTTTAATAAAATAAAGCTCACCCACCTTTATAAAAAAAAAAAAAGTCACAGTAAACAACAGGAAAAAACCCAAAGGTACAAAAATTAAAACACAGTAAGTACAAAAAAAAACAATCAAGCACAACAATAACATAGGGTTCCTCTATTTTAACAACTGAAACCCATACTTCTTAGACAAGCAAAACTTTTATTCTACTCATTGAGTGCTTTGCTTGTATATTAAAAAAAAAAAAAAAAGACAGATTTGTCCCAGAGAATCCATTGGGACATTGTGATTTATAAAGCCTGATATGTTATCATCTATCTGAAAACATTGCCTTTGTATTTATATCCCCCATTTATTTTTAAAGTGCCCTTGGGCATATACCTCTCTCCACCTGCAAAGGCTCGCATGTTCAACAGTACCTAAATTGAAGGTTATCCTTCCAAAAAATAAACTACTACATCTACAGATAAATAAAAGCTTCTCAATACTGGCAGAAGCTCTACATCTTGGAGAAGTAATTGTGATAAAAGAAATGACCTAAATGGCTGATATAAAGTTCAACAGACCTCCCGATTATAATTAAAAGTATGGAAGACCAAAATGCATCATTCCATTTGGTGACAAACATGGCTGGTATTTCTTAAGAGATGGTTGAGAGGTATGTGCCTCAGAGACAAGAAAGGTGGGGAACACTTCTCCACCTTTCCACACAAGACAATATACAGCACTCTGGGTTTTAAGGGGCAGAGGGCAGCAGCCCTCTCCAACTGCACTTAGGAAGGCTGAGCTTACCTTGTGACAATAAGATCAGCTTTCTAATCTTTTGCTAAATCGATCACAAAAGAAAGCAAGAATGAGAGACAGAGAGAGAGAAAGAGAGAGAAAGAGAGAGAGAGAAAACAAATTCACATTCTAGACATCTGGTTTTGAAAAACTTAAACAATAAAATAGGGATTTAAAATGTCTGATCACAAAATTATTTTCTGTCATAAGCGATCATCCCATACGCTGTCTTGATGATTTTCAGATCAGCTGTATAATCCAAAAATCATAAATCAAATTAAAATAAACCAAATTCACAGCATCATCACCATCATCCACAAATGAGTTCTAAACAGATGCATGCAGTGTGTGGTTATGTAAATGATAAACAGAAGCTGTCCTCACGGTCCCTGCTCTGACACAGTAATTCCCCGTTCCCTTGGTGTCAGATGGCAGATGACTGCAAGTGCAGGCTGCTAAGCAAAGTGCAGGAAATGCCTACTGTGAGGTCTTTACTCTGACATGTGGGTACAACACCACCGGAGTTATTACAAGAATGTGGAAGTAGAGTTATGCTATGTGCTATTATTCTATTGATAAAACAATCTGCCAACTATAAGCAGCTCACGAAATCCTACCCGTTTATTATTTTTAACACCTCACCCTTTCTTAATTCCACGAGCACACATTTTGCAGTGAGTGTAATCTAGAACTCTGTTGCGTCTCACACATCTGCAGCTACCACTTCCTAGGTTCACTGCTGGGAAAATAGCAGCCAGACACACAGCAGTCGCATCAAGACACACTGAATGAGGAAGAATAAATTAACATTGAGAAAAGGACACACTGATCACCCAGATGGACACATCTTCCCTAAGATAACTTGTGAAATTACACATCTCCACCAATATGTTACCAGGAAGAGATTTTCTCTTCATTTCTCACTTACAGCAGTAGAAATCTGTAATCTAATTAGATGATGTACCAGCCCTCAATATCTGTCAACCAAACGATGTGCAGAAATGTGTAGACCAGCTCTGGCACTCTGTTCAACAGTGTCCCTTTTCCGCTGTCAGCAGTACTGTTGGCCTCTGCTAATATAATTACATTGACTTTTATTCAATTAAGTGCCATCCCTCGCTTTAAAAAAAAAGCTACTTTATCAATTGATTCAGGTGTAATACAATAATAAAGATGAACTCATGGCAGTGCATTAGCTCTGCTCTTCATAACTTCAGTACACGGGTTCATTCATGGTAGTCGATTTCCATTATGCAACCACAGTTCAAGAGAATTGATTCTTTTATATTCAATTCTTAATCTATTTCATTTTTGTTTAATAATCCTCCTAAATGCCATATGCAAAACACTTGAAGTGGAGATAGGAAAGATGGACTGAAGAAAGTCTGCTGGTTCACTCTCATGATAGTGGGCTTGAAGATTTTCTCACAGACTCACTCAGTATTCATAAGATGTCAGGAAGGAAAGCACGAGAAGGAAAGCAGACTAAAATTCTTTTGAGAGTACTGATCCTGCCCCATGAGAGGTTAGGGTTCAGTCTCTGCAGAATGGACAAAAGACAGTACTTGATTTTAACAAAGACCTATTGTTGGACTGTTGAATCAGTCAATCTAGACCATTAGCTGTCATAAAATACTGTCCTCATGAGACACAAAGACCTAGGGTTAATAGCAATTTGAGGCATACTACAAGTTTATCTGGATCAGCAAAACTGAAGAGGTGAAAAGAAAGGGAAGATGGAAGAGACACAGAAAGAGCTCTCACCTACTGATGATCAGATGTAGAGAGAAGACCCTAAATTGGGAGGAAGGCCACAGAGTGCTAGAAACAGGAGGAGGACTACCTGGTAGAGGAAGCCATGCTCAGTTCTATGTAACAATTGGAACAAAGAATCCAAGAAGGAACCAATTTTGAATTCTCCCAGGATAGAGATGGTTTTTCTAGAAACAGATTAATGTTCTGAATATTTATCTCTAGGAAAGAGGGAAGAATAATCATTAACAAAAAACTAGACTGTATTAGAATTTCTATATTCTATAAGAACATAAACAGTAGAAAGCTTGTTTCTACTTGCTTTGACTCGGAAGGCAATAAATATATATAGAAGGAAATTCCTCTTACAGAAAAAAAAAATGACTGGAATGGAGACAGAAAATGAGTTCATAAGTAGAAGGGTAAGGATTTGGTCTCAATAAGTGCAGTGGTACTCATTAAGGCAGTGCTCCAAACCTTAGCCCCAGATGGTCACTTTCAAGAAGAACATAACGTATTCAATCTTATGTGTCCTGCAGGTAAAGTAGAATACTCTGCACAGAGGACGTACTTAAAAGTACATTTGTTTCCCTTCCATCAATAATATGCATGAGTCTTCAAGAAGTATTTCCCAAAATACACTGTAGAAGGGAAGAAAACAATGATCCCAGTGTAAGACTCAGGTAACAGAATATCCAAGAAAAGGAGGTAGTGACACAACAAAGGGTAACTGTGACGCTATTAATACCCTGATGTGTTATAAGGGAATGCCACAAAATTAGGGCATGAAAAAGCCCTATAATTTGGGCTATGCTTGGAATTGCAAATGCTTCCTTTAAACCTCTGTACTCTTTCTATAATGTGAATTTACCAAAAGCGTCTTAAAGACCAAGATCACCCTTATAAGCAAAAAGTTATAAAGCCTTGGACTGAGGGGAGGGTGTTGCAGAACCAAACTTCTTTCTTCTGTGAAATGGTGAGTGGCAGTACTCTAACTGAACTGAAGCAGACTACCAGCCTCTATCTGTTCTTTTGATGAACACTTCACCACGCAACCACAGAAGACCCGAAATTCATCCAATGTAGTCGGGGAAGTGCCAGTGCCCTTTAGAGGGAATGCAAGTCTTGCCTTGGCCTTTTCTTTCCTCAGGACTCCCTTTCCCACTTGTCCAAATGCCCAGTTAGACTTAATGTGATGTCTAGCCAATAAAAATTAACACTGAAAACAAAAACACTATCTTAAAAAAGTGTTTTGAGGTTTTAAACTTGGCTTTAAGATACAGGGAAGGAACTTTAAAACAAACAACAAAAAAACAAGTTGCATGATGAAATTAGAAAATAAGACTGCAGCAGTCAGAGACTGAATAATGATTCATGGTATAGGTTGCATGAAGTGTCCAACATATAACTCTTAATTCTTAACCAGATTTGAGCCATTATGAACTTAGTGAATAAAAAAAATACTTGATAATTAATTAGAATGCCTCAAGTGAAAAATAATTGAGGTCCCACTTTTTTTTATTAGTTTTTGCCTTTATTTTACAGCTCAATCCTGCCATTAAACACACACACATTCTCAAATTCTCAAATGATACTGTACAGGATGATCATAATGACATATACATAGCAGATACAATATGCATGCCTATTTGTTTGTACGTATGTGTGTACATATA